GTTATCTGCCCATTCCTGTCCTCCCTTCCTGCTCAGATTACAGTGGTGCCTCGCAAGACGAAAAGAATCCGTTCTGTGAGTCTCTTCGTCTAGCGGTTTTTTTTGCGAAGCAAGCCCATTGACGGATTAGCGGATTAGCGCTATTAGCGGCTTTTAGCGGCTTAGCAGATAAGCGGATAAGCGGCTTTGAAAAAGGGGGGGGGAAAGGAAAAAAACCCCGCAGGAACTGGCAAGACATTTTCGTCTTGCGAAGCAAGCCCATAGGAGATTCGTTTTGCGAAGCACCTCCAAAACGGAAAACTCTTTCGTCTAGCGAGTTTTCCGTCTTGTGAGGCATTCGTCTTGCGGGGCACCACTGTACTAGCACTGTGAAGGGCTCAGTGACCCCTTCAGCAATTCCCAGTGCCAATCAGCTGGGATTACTACCCAGGTTATTAGCACTGGAGAAGAGCTGAAGAGGTCCTTCCAGCACCAATCAGCTGGGCTCTGTGAAGGGATTAGGGAGATGACTCCAGCACATGCTGCCTTCCTGCTTGCTTGTGGGTTTGTGTTTGTCTGCCTGGGTGTATTTGTGTCTGGCCCATCATTCAATGAAACACTCCAGGCCAAAAAGGTTACCGACCCTTGATATAAAGAATAGTAGGATTCTTTTTTCTGATATACAGAGCAGGGGGGTGAAGTGCAAAGTTTGTACAGTGACCAGTGCACAACGCCCAGTGAATATGAGAAATGAATAATGGGTTTGGGGTTGAAACATACTTGAATTTTTGTGCCCTTTAAGCAGGAGGTGGATTTCTTATGAGAAGAGCCCCAAATAAGAACCTTTGACAGTGTTTTCAGATGCGAGGTTTAACCAGCTTTTCAAGCATTCTATTATTATTATAATTTCTATCATTACATTTTTATAATTTCACACACACGCTAGAATGGTTGTTTGCTTTGTTGACACATCACTGATTTAAGCATCAGATGTGAAAATGCTAGAGTCAGAGGTACAGCAATTTCCCATATCTGTGTTCACCTACCCCAAATAACAACTTTCAGATGGGAACCAGAAGTAAGGAATAGTGTTTTCTTAGTTCTGTGGTGGTAGCAACAATGGTTTCTGCTATGCTACAGTCCATTATTGCAGCTTAGTCCATGCAGCAATTCAATATAGTGTTATATCCTTTCTCATGGCTAAAATCTTTGCAAATTGTTTACTCGTTAGAAAGTTCCATTAACCAAAGCTCCCTTTCAAACATTAATTAGAAGGCCGTTCTGTTTTATTCTTCCTTGCTTATTGTAGCTGGAGGAAATAGTGATTAAATGCCCCTTGAACAGTCTCACTTAATTGTTGCAATGTCAGTTTCTCTACCTATGTGGGATGCAGTGGGGGGAGGATTTAACCACTTTTTTTTTTTCATTTTTAGCAAAAAAAATTGCTATATTTCACTATAGAAAACAGAAAGGGAAAAATTATGCAACTACATCACTAATGAAGCTTACACTGCAAAACCAGAAATTGACACAGAGGTACAGTAATTAAAGAGGTACACACAGTACACACAAGCTGTAATCAATGGGCAGCAATAAAATGGGCAAGACCTGCAAACAGGAAACATTGTTAAAATCACAGGACCTTTGAAAAACCTCAGTAGTGCTTTATTGTACTTGTTCCACACTGCTATTCCAGTTCCCTTTTTGTTGTAGAAAAATTGCTACAAATCAGGTCTGAATAGTACAGGAGGTCAAACTAGAAAACACAGGACTAAAACAGTTTTACATGTGGATCCTCTGCATAAAGTGATTCAACAAAGGATGACAATTCATAGTACAAAGCAATTAAAGTTCCTTTTCAAAGGAATAATGCAAAACTCTCCTAGTCTTATAATCATTGTAAGCACACAACCTCCCCCTCCCTCCCTGAATACACAAGCAGATGGGATAGAACAGACTATGTTTAAGACTGATGCCTAAATATCCTATTTCTTTATGTGTGCTGAAACACACTGATGTTATGGTTTACTTCACATTACTTTGCACAGACTTTGAATCTAACATGGCCATGGAAGGTTTCGTCAAATATCCCTTCAATCTTCTATATCTAAATATACTTGCATGTGGATGTAATAGTGAAAGATACGTTCAATATGCAATCTAATGGACTTCATAAGCTTCAGCTTTTTCTTTAGTATTTATTTGAAACATCATAATACATAGAGGTATAGGACAGTAAAAATTAAGCAGGTTGAACACTTAATAAGAAAGAAAGAAAGAAAGAAAGAAAGAAAGAAAGAAAGAAAGAAAGAAAGGAGGAAAATAAAGAAACACTGCCTGTGAGTAAACTCAATCCCCTGGGAAAGGCTATTAAAAAATAAAAAAGGTTTTAGCTTTCAGTGAAATATATACAATGTCAGAGCATAGGCTCAATGGGCAATGTGTGCCACAGCTGTGCTGAAAGATACTGTACTTGCTTATAACTTAGCCTCTATGCACCTGCATTTTGTTTAGTCTATCAGTCGCAAATCCTGATAGGAAATCTGGGAACTCTGAGGTTGTGGGAACTCTGAGACTTGGGTCAATGCTGTATTAATGTTTAATAAGATATATGTTTTTAAACTCTAAGCTCTTAATTTGGATAACTAGGCCTTTTGCACAGCTCATCTTAAACTGCAGAGCATGGTCCTGTGAATGTTTAACAACAATTTGGGCTTCTTCTTCTTCTTTTTTAAAAATAGGCTTAATACTAGTTGGTTGGCTTTGGACAAAATCCATCTCCAAGTCTAATTGATGCCACACCACATAATATGCTGCTGCATGTTTGTAATAAAAAAAAATGCATTTGTTGCATATTGAATGGTACAGAAGATGCTAACTATAGTAGTAAGCAGTACTTACCGTTACACTGAAAATTTGTTACATAGCAATTTGCCTTGAAGAACTCATCACTGTGTAAAGTGCTGAATGCAGATAAAGTTCAACTCCTTATTTAGCCATCAAGACAGAAGCATACAACAATTCTGCAATGCCTGCTGTTTGTCATGTGTGTTGGAAGCCAGGTGTCTGGGTTAATCTTATGGACACACAAGCCTTCCAATTACATTTTTAGCTAAACTAGTCCAAGTCAAAGCCCAAATTCGGATAGACAACCACAACTCATGGAAGCTCTATCTTACAAACAGTTTTACCTTTTTCTAGGAGAGATGCTAATCTTCCTTTGGTTATACAGAAATAATACTTTCTAGGATTCCTCAAAAGACTTTTTACTCTCTGAAGAGCAGCTGCTGAACGTTACCTTTAAGGCCTATTTAAACAAAGGAAAAACATTTCTTAACATTTTAAACCTTAGGTACAAAACTTATTCACTCCTAGAGAAAACAAAGATCTCTAACAGGAGAGCTATTTCAGAGAGCTATTTCAGAGTCCCATTGAGAAGAAAGCACTGCCCAGGCTTTCTTCTCAGCACGAGTCTGACTAGTCGAACCTTTTCACAATTTGAGGCATGCTATGGTTTTCCCAGTAGTGATGTATGGAAGTGAGAGCTGGACCATAAAGAAGGCTGATCGCCGAATAATTGATGCTTTTGAATTATGGTGCTGGAGGAGACTCTTGAGAGTCCCATGGACTGCAAGAAGATCAAACCTCTCCATTCTTAAGGAAATCAGCCCTGAGTGCTCACTGGAAGGACAGATCCTGAAGCTCAGGCTCCAATACTTTGGCCACCTCATGAGAAGAGAAGACTCCCTAGAAAAGACCCTGATGTTGGGAAAGATGGAGGGCACAAGAAGGGAACGACAGAGGACGAGATGGTTGGATAGTGTTCTCGAAGCTACCAGCATGAGTTTGACCAAACTGCAGGAGGTGGTGGAAGACAGAAGTGCCTGGCGTGCTCTGGTCCATGGGGTCACGAAGAGTCGGACACGACTAAACAACTAAACAACAACAATGGTTCTTTAAGGCGCCTGGTATTAGACTTTTGACTGCAGGCAGGTACTCCCCTAAACTAGGAAACAATAACTTCAGGACCTAGTGGTCCTTCCAGTCGGTATCCTTCCAGCTAATCAAATAACCAACTGTTCGCTGTATACTAGCTACTGAGTGGTCACAGCTGTTAGCTTTCTCCTAGCTACTAAGCTGTCAGCGGCATGGGTTTTCTCCCTTATTCCCCTTCTATATGGACATTCAACAGCCAGGGAGCCCACAGCAACTGTTTCCTGCTACAGAAAGGACCATCTTGCAATTCGGATGCCAAGGGCAGAAAGGTCCAATGACGGTACAGAGGAAATTAGGAAAAGGATGTCCTTAGGTTACGCCCAAGGGGGGATAGGACAGGGGAAATGGAAACAGAAGAAATGCAATATTTGCTACCAAAATTGGCCCAATGGTTAGAGCCAACCTGGCATCAAGAGAAAAACTCAGATTCCTTGCTGTCAGGTTGACAGGAACGATCATGGGGTTGTCTCTCCTCTAACATTGACTTTTACAATGCAGGAGACTGTTGCCCCAAGGGTCGGGTTCTCTTCTCACAAGTGACCCCTTCCCTTCCAGACTTGGCTTTCTCTATACCTTTGGCTAAGCCAATACCAAGTCCGCAAAAAAAGCAAGAATAGAAAAGAATAGTGCAGAGAGAATTTTCAGTTGCTGTGGGTTGAGAGAACTCGCCTGCTACCCTTTTCCCATGCAAGTTATACTCAGTTCCACATGTGCTGTTCCTGGTGATCCTGGGATCTCTGACTGGTTGTTTTAGGCTGGCCCAATCAAGCGTTGCTTCCTCTGGTTGACCTCGCTGGAACGCCAGTTATTTCCAGACCCTGCGATCACTGGAGGACTAGTAGCTCCTCCTGGCAAAGGCCTGGTGTGCACTGGGCCACCAGTCCTTCCTTGCCCCCAGAATCCGGTCAACCAAAACTCCTGGCCGGCTCGCCAAACTGTTATAAGAAAAAACTGCTCCTTTATCCCTTATCGGGTATCCAAGAGCCCGTATAGAGTCCTTATGTAGGTTTTCTATTGATAGGAGAAAATAACAGAGAATATTGAGAAGCAAGGCAGCTAGTAAGCATGATCTTTATTAAACTGTTGCAAAAGGGTCCCCTGCTCACCCCACGCAGGGAGGGAGGACAGGAACCCAAAACAATGGTGTCCAAGCTCTTATATAGACATTTGAAATTGCCTCCCCTGTAGCTCAAGACTACCCCCAAAAACATCATACATCCATCACAGAAAGAGGTGGTCCCCAGCAGAAATTTGAGTGTGTTGCTTCTCTCCTGTCTGCCAGGATACCTGATAATGCTTTATCTGATTGCCTTTTCTGGGTAGCCTGGCCATTCCTTTGAGATGGTAAATACTTAGTTCCTGAATCTCTTACGCATATTGATAGTGTGCTCAGCTTAACAGATACTTGCCAGACTGTATTTGTCAGCTTCGCCCTTGAGCCAGTGCCACCGACTAGGCTCAACCACTTCAGCCCCGACTGGGCCAGGCGAACTGGGGTAGCACTTCCAGAGACCTTCTCTTCAGGAACAGGTCTAAGTGCTGTGGACTCACAACTCAGAGCTGTGAGCACCGAACTCACTTCCAGAAGACAGCCGTGCACAGCAGAGTATAGCAGAGAATAAATCACTCGGACGACAGCGCTTAAGAATATCTTCTTTTATTCACTAACAGCTACTGTACTATACAAATTATATACAAATGGAGACGCTGGACTGCACTGAGTGTTACAGCTGCTTTCTGCAACGACCTTATCTACACAGAGATAACACTCAGTCTCTCCCTTTGAAGTGTGGCTGGAGCGGAATAAGTAGCGAGCACAATCCGCCCCCTCCTCTCTGGAAAATCAGCAGATTCTTGCAATGGGAGGGGTGAAATATCCTCATCCTCCCCCTTTCATTCCAACCATTGCAGAATCTAGCATAACTGCAACTTGCGTACACACTACAAAAGTTGTTCTTTGCTAACAACCTTTGCTAAAACATCTGCAGGTATCTCTTTCCCCGGCATATAAGACACTTTTACAACACCACTTTGGACACATTCCCAAGCTCAATGAAGCTTGGTTTGCAGATATTTTGTCCTCTGCTTACATCCTTCTGAGTTGAGCAATGTTATACATGCTTTATTATCCTGATACACTTGAACAGGAAAAGTGACCTTCACTTTTATATCTTCAAACAGTTGCTGCAAACACTCTACGTCCATCAGAGAAAGAGTTAAAGCATTAAGCTCTGCCTCGCAAGAACTTAAGCTTACCGTTGCTTGCTTTCTGCAACACCAATCAAAAAGACATTGACTGTACAGATAACACACTCCTGATGTGCTTTTGCCGTCAATTGTGTCACTACCAAAACTGGCGTCTGCATAGATCTCAAGACCTCCAGATTTTTGACTAGTAAATCCACAGTTCCTTTCAAATATCTTGCTAATCGTTTTAGCGCTTTCCAATCCTGAACTGTGGGTGTATTTGGATATCTGCTGATTAAATTCACAGTCACAGCAATGTCTGGACTTGAACATCTTGCTATGAAACTAAGTTTACCCAATACACTTCTAAAAAGTGTTGCATCAGGAAAAACATCAGCTTTAGCATCATGCTGATAACCTGCGACCATGGGGGTATCTATAGGATTGGCGTCACTCAGGTTCAACTTCTCTATGACATCAGTGATCTTACGTGACTGACGCAGCAAAACATCCCCCTGTGCATTTCTCTCAATCTCAAGCGAGAGATAATTGCTGACTTCTCCTAGGTCTTTTAAGTCAAAATGCTTCTGCAACTTTGCCAGAGTGCTTTTGTAGATGTTTTCATTCTTCCACATAAATAATATGTCATCTACAAAACAAATGCAATAAAGCTTGTGCTGATTCGACTCTTTAACAAAAACACACGAATCAGCCTTTCCTTGCACAAAACCTAAGGAGAACAGATACTTCAGTTAGCTTGGTGTGCCAGCACCGTGCACTCTGTTTTAAACCGTACAGGGATTTTTTCAGCTTGCAAACCATTCCCTCTTTTATCTGCACACCATCTGGCAGTGACATATAGATATTCTCATTGAGAACGCCATACAAAAACGCAGTATTAACGTCATGATGGGAAATTGTCATACCTTCTTGGGCAGCTGTCTTCAACAACAGTCTAACACTTTCAAACCTTACTGTTGGAGAATACGTTTCATGGTAATCCTGATCAGGTGTCTGAGAAAAACCTCGCGCCACTAGTCTGGCTTTGTGTCTGACTATTTTTCCGCTCTGATCAGTTTTTACCTTGTAGACCCACCTACTGTCTACACACTTCATGCCTGGTTCTGCTGGAACCAATTCCCAAGTATCGTTCTGTTTTAGGGAATTCAATTCAGCTTTCATGGCATTCAGCCAAGGTTCAGCATTATTTGCGGACAGGTTCTTACCTTCCTTATAATTGGCTGGTTCAAAAACTGCACCAGAGTTGCTTGTGACTGCAGCCTTAGCGAACTCTTTAGAGAACCTTTTAGGTGGTACACCCTTCGTAGTTCTTTCGGATCTCTGCAAAACTCTCTGATCCTCTGGGTCTGGTGTCTCCTCCTCTTTGGGAGAATGGTGACCTAAAGAAAATGAAGGTGCTGAGTCTGAATCAGCATCAGACTCATCTGAGGCTTTTGGGCTTTGATAATTTGTGTCATCACCAGGATCTACATCAACATTAGAATTATCATCAACCACAACAGAACTTAACTGTTTTTGCACCATCATCACAAATGGGATGACATTGAAAAATGCCAACTCTGTCCCATTTTGGATTATAGTCAATGCTTCTGGTCAACTTGATTGTTTTCGTGTCAGTGATCAAGACACGATAAGAACCCTTCTCATACCCTAGAAAAACACCATGTTCACCACGCTTGCTCAGTTTGTTATCCTGCAAAGTATGCACCCATACCTCCGAACCAAAAATTTTAAAATGCTTTACATACGGCTTCCTTTTGTGAAGCATCTCGTATGGGGTGCCATCTATAGCAGACTGATACCTTTGATTGTACACGTGAGAGAAACATGAAAGAGCTTCGGCCCAAAAGGGATTGGGCAGGCCCAAATCGTGCAACAGAGTTCTGATACCTTGTTGCAAGGTTTGGTTTACTCTCTCACATAAACCATTCTGCCAGGGTGATCTGGGCGTGGCAGTCATATGCTCAATGCCCTGTTCAGTAAGAAAACTCTCAAACTCTTCTGAACAAAACTCTCCACCCCTGTCAGTGAACAGACAATGTATGCTCTCATTGTGTTACATTCCTGAGCCATGTACAAAATTGGCGAAACTTGGTGAAAGCTTCAGACTTTTTCTGTAGCATATAGACCTAAACATATCTCGAATAGGAGTCTATCAACACCATGAATAACCGTGAGTTGCCTCTAGAGAGCGCTAGAGGCCCCACTAAGTCAGCATGAATGACTTCATATGGTTTCTTGGCCTCTCTCCTAGATTTTACACCTTTGGGAGCTTGCCTTGCCTTATTCTCAGCACAAGAAACACATTTCATATGGTAAGGACACTTTTTCAACTTCATGCCCTCAACCATATTAGGCATTTTTGCCACAGCCTGAAAATTCAAATGACCATAAAGACGGAGGTAATCATGAATACATTGATCATGCAGCTTCTCATTCTTATCTACAGATATGTTACAGCATGCTTTCTCAGTTGCTTCAGCAGTACCTGTAACAAAAGGCATTTGGTACAAACCATCAACACATTTGGCATACAGAATGAGCTTGCCATCTCGATGAATTTCACAACGAGATCCAGCAAAAACCACCTTAAACCCTTGATGATCAAGCTGCGAAACACTCAAAAGATTGTCCTGAAGATGAGGAGCATACAGGACATTCTTAATTGTTGCATTCAGGCTCTTTAAGAACACAGTTCCCTTAGCCAAACTCGTGAGAACAGTCCCATCAGCTTGATGAATTGCTTTCTCTTGCTTCTTAAGCTGAACAAAGAGATTCTTATCTTTGGCCACGTGGTTGGTACAGCCAGAGTCGACCACAAAGAAACTCCGCCCACGTTGATTGGAGCAGCGAGAGATCAAAGCCTTTGAAGTAGCAGGTGCTTGGGAATTTCGTCCTCCTCCCCCTCTGCCTTTGAAGTTTCCCTTCTTCTTTGAAGTTTTCTTGCTGCACTGGAAACTCAAATGGCCTTGGGCTCCACACGAAAAGCATCACCACAATTTCAGAGCTTTAGCAGCTGTTTCACTTTCCCCTGCTGAAGACTCAGGCATATTTGCAACAGCACTGTCACGGCTTTCTCTAACAGCCTGTCTGCGACCCCACTCATTCAAGAGCATGCTAGACACATAATTTTCTGTTAGCCGGTCAGCAGGCATGGTAGAAATCTGAGCAGCTACTCCGTCGTAGGAATTGTCTAGGCTATTTATCATCGGCATTGCAAACACAGCCTCTGAAATAGCCAGGTCTCGCTGAACAAGGTCCTGTCTGAGGCGTTTTAATTGAGACAGATGGCTAGACAAATCACCACCTTTCTCTAACTGCAACCTGAACAGCTTCTTGAAGAAAATCACACTGGAACCGGCATTTTGCCTCAAATGCATATCTCTCAGTTTATGCCAAACAGTTCGTGCAGTCTCTTGACCCTCTAAGTTTACCAACAAGTGGTCTGAAACACTCAAAACAATTGTCCCCCGGGCTCTCATGTCTGCAGCATGCCACTCAGGCCATTCATCTGCATCCTCCTGGGGAGGGTCATCTTCGATGGTGTGAAATAGCTTCTCCCTCTGTAAAAGCGCTTTCATTTTGACCTGCCATGTTGCATAGGTCTCGGGCATGAGGAGAGGAAAGGACAGAGCCATCTGGCCAAAATGTGCACAGGCCATGTCTGCTATTAATTAAAGCAAGACACTTCCCTACGTGCAACACAGATAGAGCCTTGGACTCCTTCAGCCACTCTCTCTCCCACTCAGAGCGCAATTAACAGGCAAACAGGGATGCTATCTTCTTTTCTTGGCAGCCAGCAACATACCTCCATAAATCAAGCAGCAGCAGCAGCAACAGCTTGAACAACAGCTCCGAAACAACTCTGCTTCTGGGCACCGCAAATCAGTCCAGCACGCAGCCTCCGTTCTGCCATCCGGCAATCAGCATCAGAAGTCTCTGGCGACTGGGACGACTGGGACGACGAGGACAATGACTGGGCCCATAACCGATGTCAGTTTCACCCTTGAGCCAGTGCCACCGACTAGGCTCAACCACTTCAGCCCCGACTGGGCCAGGCGAGCTGCGGTAGCACTTCCAGAGACCTTCTCTTCAGGAACAGGTCTAAGTGCTGTGGACTCACAACTCAGAGCTGTGAGCACCGAACTCACTTCCAGAAGACAGCCGTGCACAGCAGAGTATAGCAGAGAATAAATCACTCGGACGACAGCGCTGAAGAATATCTTCTTTTATTCACTAACAGCTACTGTACTATACAAATTATATACAAATGGAGACGCTGGACTGCACTGAGTGTTACAGCTGCTTTCTGCAGCGACCTTATCTACACAGAGATAACACTCAGTCTCTCCCTTTGAAGTGAGGCTGGAGCGGAATAAGTGGCGAGCACAATCCGCCCCCTCCTCTCTGGAAAATCAGCAGATTCTTGCAATGGGAGGGGTGAAATATCCTCAGTATTTACAGGGAGGTGTAAGCCCCTGCAGTCCAAAGACAATTGGAAAGCTTTTCCCATTTCCTTCCTCCTTGCAGAGAAATATTTGAGGTCAGTTTGGGAGAGTCAAAATGGCTTCAGGTTTGTTCTCCTGTACTATTTCAGACACGTGGTTTATATACTTATGTATGTGTTTGCCTTGTACATTTGTGTGTGTGTGTGTGTGTGTGTGTGTGTAACCTTAGAATTCCTATAACACTTGGAAGTTGAACGGAATCCATTCCGGAAGTCTGTTCAACTTCCAAAACGTTCGGAAACCAAAGCGCGGTTTCTGATTGGCTGCAGGAAGCTCCTGCAGCCAATCTGAAGCCATGGAAGCCCTGTCAAATGTTCAGCTTCCAAAAATAATTCGCAAACTGGAACACTCACTTCCGGCTTTGCGGCATTTGGGAGCCAAAATGTTCGAGAACTAAGCTGTTTGAAAACTAAGGTACGACTGTATTTATCCCTAGTGTAAGCAGCCCCAGTGTATTTTTCTCTGATTGTTTATTGTGAAGAGAGCCAGAGAATCCAGTGCATAGCCTTTCTTGCTCTTTTCTGGACAACCCCCCTTCTCCCTTTCCCCCAGTATTAACCATGGTATTCTGTCATGTCGGCACCATAGTAAACTTTAACCAGGATTTGCAAAGCAGCTTAAAATCTGCCTTCAAATTCTGACTGAGTGAGATCATAGTTAAGATGAACTCTGATGTTGATATAACACCACACTATGGTTAACGTTGAAAGGTAGCAAGAGGGGAATTTGTGTGGCAGAGAAAAGGGAAAGGGAGCATGTAAGAAAACACAGTGTTCCCAATCTGTTATCAAGGTTAAAAGATCAGGAAATGTGCCTGCACTAGGCTACTTATCTGAGTTTACATTTGAACTGTTTGAATAGACAGGCTCAGATAAAGGAAGCTGTTTTCAAAGCTGACTGGAAATAAACATGTGCAGAGTGTGTTTCTGTAACTATTGAGTTATGCTTTGAAACACTTGGAATTAGGGTGCAGAGTTTACAGGCCAGGCAGTATGTATTCTAGACGGGACCATACAGCAGTGGTTCGCAATTGGCTAATTGCTGAGGACCCCCTATTTTTCAAAAGCCAAGTCACAGACCCCCTACTTTTGAAATTACCCGTGCAAAGCAATTTTTTTTTAAAAAATGTGGGGTGGCCTCTAATAAGCAAAGGATTTCAGGTAAAAAAGAAAAAAAGAAAAAAGGTAAAGGTTAAGTCCAGTCAAAGGCGACTATGGGGTTGTGGCGCTCATCTCAGTTTCAGGCTGAGGGCGCCGGTGTCATGTGGCCAGCAAGGGGAAGGGATCCTTTACATTTTTAAAATGATAAACATGTGAACCTGTCCCATGGAGCAAGCCGTTTGCACTCTCTCCTCCCCCCCCCCCAATGCAGGAGCCCAAATAAACTGTGTCAGAGGTTTTTGCCCAGTCCCAGTTCACTTGCCATCCAGCAACTCTGTCACAAGTTTTTCCCCTGCCAGCAAGCAGGCCCTGGGCACGAGCAGAGCCTGGGTGATCTATAGATCATCAATGGGGCTTTCATTGTGCAATTAACAAGGTAAGTGAGTCCCTGGCAGGGGATGGTGCTGTGAACCCCCTGGATGTGTTCAATGGACCCCCCAGGGGTCCCTGGCCCCCCAATTGGGAACCACTGCCATATGGCTTTTCGTCTCAGAATTCTACACTTCCTATGTGCTGCCTGCACACTGAAAACGTATGTTATTGACTGTCGAATGGACAAGCTTACAGTTTAACAAACCAAGTTAATGTATACAAAGAAAATCAAGTGATTTCTGTGCTGCTCTCGGCCCTTTTGCTGAAGGATAGGTTGCTCACAATGAAGAACAACGCACCAGGGAGGAGAAACGCTGTGCATCTGGCTGCATCAAAAGCTTTTGCACACAGCCCTAAAACCTAGTTTTGCACACGGCCCTAGCAATTCTGTTGGCCAAATGAGAAAAGAGGGAGGGGGGAGGGGGGAGGCTTCTAACTACAGTTGCTGTGAAACTGTTGGAGGCAGTTTACTTATGCTACTGGGAGTGGCTATGAGTTTCACATTCAAAGTAAAGCTTGCCAGTTTGGACAGCAGTTTTAGAGAGGTGTGGTCACAAGTAGCTTCAGCTGTTTTTAGCAGGGGGTGTGGCTAGATTTAGCTTTTGTCTGCAGTGGGGGAAAGGCTGGGGAGCAAGCATTTTACTTCACATGGATTGCCTGATAGTTGCCAGAATCATTTTTCCCACTATTATTATTATTTTACTGTTTCACTCGATAAAAACAATAGGTACACCATAAACAGGCTTAGGAAATGCCGTCTTCTCAAAATGTGACTGTTAGCTGGAAATCCGGATTAGCTACCCCTCCCCCAGCAAATTGCAGAACGGACGTTGCTCTCATAATATAGACATGCAGATAAACTTCCCCAGGGTCAAACTGAGATATATATATATATATATGTTCCTCCTGCACATGTCCTGTGGGGAGTCACTCAACATGAGACTTGCTCTACCAGACTAATAAGTTATTACAACATTCATCTACCAGTATTGGCGCTAATCCCTGATTAGTAAATAAATCATCTGGATGTGGTGCAACAAACCACTGTTTATGCTGAAATCTGGTTATTACGACAATCAGTGTGAAAGAACAAATAGAACCCAAGCATCCTGGCAGCATGCTGGAAGGTAAGGTTTAAATGTCTCCCCAGATGTCATCCTGACAAAAATCACCTCCCTCGTTGTTAGCCTTAGGGGGAAAACTCCCACTGGAGTGTCCCCTCCCCACATAGAGCTAAGGGGGGGTAGTTTTCATCAGGATCATATTGGGAGAAGGAAGGGTTAAATCTCTTCTCCCTATGCGCTGCAGTTCAAATGAAAATCATGTTTCATTACATTAGCTATTAAATAATTTTTTAAAGAATATTGACATACCGTCTCTAATGGCATGTTTGGCTCTGAAATAGTAGGTTTTTTCAAAAACAAAAAAAACCCTGGCCTGTTTTTAATTATTTCACCATATATTTAACTTGGAGTACTTTAAAAATACTGCTTATCTGTGTTTCTCAATCAGCTTTTATGGGAACAGCAAGGACAGCATGCACCAATTACATGTCTCTTGCACAAGTCCCTCTGACCATTACAAGTGATTAATGAACACAATGTGATTGTGCAACTCCTGTGTACAACCCTGTTAAGTAAACTGAACAGTGCAGAAATGGGTGGTGGCGACAGCACATATCCTTCTTCCAACTGTTCACAATCTAGTTTGATCACTTCACAACAAAAAATCAGCTGAGGAAAACAAGCGCCATTTGCCTCTGTAACCAGGTCACATGGTAGGAAAAAAGCAGTGGATCAAGTGCTCTCTGACCTATTTATATAATCTTCAGAGAAACAGTGTAGTCCCTTGGAAACCACAAAGATCCCAAAGAGAATACTAAAGTATACACATATCTCTAAACAAAACCTTTTTTAACAGTAAATAAAAAAGATTGGATCATTTATTTTACAAAGCTTGTTTTATGATTCAAATAGCACATGGCTCCTGAAGCTCCTGCACCAAGAGCCTCTTCCTGCTGAGCTTCCCTGTCAGCTAATCGTGAATGGCAGATTAGAGTCAGTGAATGACTCATCATTTAAATATGCACTGTGGGAGGAGGGGAAGTAGTGAGCCAGTACTGGCATTGTGCATGCTAAGAGTTTTCACATGTTTGAGCAAGGCACAGTTTGAGCACTATTTCTGGGCAAGAAAAAGCTCTTCTTGCACAGCCTCCAAAATGATTCTTGCAGGGAATGACATTTTGTAATTTAATTAAATGCAAATACATTTTGCGCCCCTTTTGCTCAAAAAGAAATATGCCTGTTCTTCATACTCTGTTGAACTACTAGTGATCCCTCTCCCATCTTCAGTTTGTGATCAGAGACCACAGTTTATTTGCCAAATATGTGAACACCTTGTTCTCCCTCTGTCTTAGGTATCATAAATTCAAGCATACGAAATCTTTTCTATTGCAGTTTTAATATAATGAAACAATAATGTATTAACACTATAAAAACCACAAACTAAGCTTGCATTTTTATTTTTATTTTGCATATATATATCTATTGGACCCAGAATATACCTTGTTTTGTAAAACTTTGAATAAAATAGTTATTTGTCGACCCATGATTTCATAAATAGTTAAGCAGATAATGAATGGAGAGTAACCAAAGGAAAAGCACATCAAAATGCAAAATAAACTCTTTGAATCAAATACAGATGTTTCAGCCAGAGTTCATGTTAGCGTAGAAAATCTAGGTGAATGTTCCCGCAGAATAAATAGGGGGCTGGGTGAGAGCATAACAGGAAGCCACAACATTTTCATTACAGCAGGGCTTCCTCTCTCTCTTCCTTGCTCCCTCCGCCCCCCTTAGTGCCAGACAAGCAGAGCGCTGCAACAGGAGCCACAGAAGATTGGCTCGCCTACCTGCTAGCAGTCACAATGGAAGCAGTGGTTTACTTCTTAACCCTCCCTTTGGAGAACAGAAAGAAGCCTGCAACCTTGGTACAAATTCTGCTGCCAATACAGGATCTTTTTGCCCTTTAAAAATAATTACTGGGGAAAGGTGTTGGTTAAAACAGCCATTTTGAATTTTGCGCTTGTAACCTGTTAGATATGAAACCAGCCATTTTGAGCAGACGTATATCCATTTTGTGATGGTGTAATGTTATTCTCAGTGCTTTTTTCTGGGGGTACTCAAGGGTATGCTGTACCAGCACCTCCCCCTCCCCCCAAATTAAAAGTGTGGCACTTACTGTAACTTCATGGGTGAGTACCGGCACCTTTTTTTTCTAAAAAATAAAAAAGCACTGGTTACCATGCACTCTTCCCTTAGAATCATGGTGAAAATTATCAGTTAGTCTTTAAAACTAAATCATTTTGCCATTTTTGTCACAGAGATTAATAAAGGGGTAGAGTGCTCCTGGGATTAATTCCATTTACTTCCATAAACAATCAAAACACAGTTAGTTGAACTAAAATGTTCCTCCATCCTCTTACATTGCTAACCATCACCCGCTCCAATGTTGTCAGACTTCCACATCCCTACACCATTGAAGCTACGTACCTCGGATCTTGGATGCTGTTGCACTCTGAACTGCCTGGCACTCTGCAGGCCTAAACACCATAGACAATGCTTCTTCTGAAGAGAACTAACTTTTTAATAAATAACTATGCAGAATGCCCTTTAGGCCAAAGATTCAAATAGAAAGGTTTCCGCAACAATTTAAACTACCACAGCGAGTAGCTGCGCAGTACAGCATAGGTACTGTTCCCGACAGCGTACAAATATGCTGTCCTCTTTGCTCTCTCCTCTTCTTCCACTGTTTTAATTTACAGTGTGCTGTCGTGGATGGTAGCTTTGAAAAAAGCAAGCATCTTTCCTGCCAGTTGCTTCCCAGGCTTTGAAGTGAATGGAAGTCTGGATGAGTCCCAAATGTATAAAATCCTTTCACATATTCGTTAAGTGTCTCTTTGGTCGAGGCCATTGAACGTGAATCGGTTTAATTGGTTGAATGCTTAAATATAATCCTGATATTTTAACTTCAAATCCCTTCCAGTTTAAATTCAACAAATACGTTATTCAAATCATTGCAGTATTTGGGGTGAGTGTGATTCTGGCTAAAGTTCAGGGCTAGGTTGACTTCCTAGTGGAAACAGAAACAGACACAAGGGGCCAAAACCAAGAGACAACTACTGAGGTGTATATACTGTAGGTCTGATAGAACATGTGATGCTGTTCATCTGGAGTTTGGATGTGTTCAAACATGTACATGGTGGTGAGTAGTGAGGTGCATAATGATCCTCTCAGAACCCTCTCAAACATGGGAGTGAAAGTTAATTAGTTGAAGAGCCTTTGTCTTTACAATGTGGATATAAGTCAGTAGATGAAGCCTGTTTAGCTAGTCCATCAGCATTTCTTCCGTTCAAAATATGCCCCTGGTCAAAATTAGCTGTCAACCAGGGATTTGTTATTTTGTCTAATCGACACACAAAAGCTCTACTAAGAGAAATCTGTAGCTGTTAAAATATCAGGGCCCTAATTATCCTATGCAAATTGCCATTCAAAGGCTCTCTGATTTGATAGGTCCAATAATCTATTATGGAAAAGTGGAAGGGGACATCAAATTTGTTGTTATTGCTGTTGTTTCTATATCACCCTTGAGGATCACAGCATGGTGTATAACATAAAACCATAAAAAATAACATAGTAACAAACAAAAATAATAACCCTCACATGTTTGGATTGTAATGTAGTCCCAATCCAGTAAAAAGGATCAAAGTGTGTGTCCTGAAGTGCTGAAGGGCAGTACTTTTTGTCTAAAAAAATGTTTAAGGGTACTGTACTCTCATTTTGACTCAATACAATCACCATTTTATAGTTCAAATTGGGGAAATAAATACAGTAAATGGACAAAAGTACAAAGATTCACTGAATGTTTAGGGGTATGCGTACCCCCAGAAAAAAAGCACTGCTGAAGGGTATGTGTGTTTCAGTAAGGAGAACCACCTGTTTCTGTGTGATTATAGCAGGAAGCATGTTGCCTTTTTAAAACTGGAGCCCAGCAGCTCTTTACAAATCATGTTATCACAGCAATTAATTCTGTTTCAGGATTATGAGTTCTTGAAACCAATATGGTTCAGTGCATAGTATAAGGTAAATTAAGGGCACTTTCACCAGTGCAAACATTTTTGTCTCCCTCTGTCCTTGTATCCTTATAATAAAGTTTTTTTAAAAGGTTCTGCTGAATAGAATGTGTATACCTGATTCAAAAAATGTCTCTCTTGTGCTTTCTATCATATACTAATATTCGCAAGCAATACTAGTCCAAGCTGCACATACACCTTGAAATATAGAGATAATCAGAGTGATGTTGAAAAGTTGTAACACAGACGCTAACATTTAGACTCTTAAGGTCCTGGGTTAAGTAAATTACCGTATTTTCCATCTAGAAAATGCCCCCATGTATAAGACGCCCCTATTTGGGGGGACTCAGATTTAAGTAAATGGGGGGGGGCGTGTATAAGACGCCCCCTAATTTTTGACATTATTTTTTAAGGGAAAAAACCTAGTCTTATATACGGAAAAATACAGTACGCACTGTTCAGCCATTTTAGGGGGAAAGTTTAAATCATGCCAAGCAGTTGTGTGGGGAGTGGGGAGCAGGAGGAGCTGAATCTAGCACTCCCCACTCCATCCTGAACAAATAGGATTTCTATATTTTTTTCTAAATGGCTACATGCATATAGATGCTAGATTCAGCTGGGAAATTGCCCATGTAACTTCCATTTGCAAGAGTGACTTCCCATCCAGCTGGGGATTCACACTGAGAAAATGGTTTCTATGCAGTCATAACTCCTGTTATTTTTTCTTTGGTGATTTAAAAAAAAGATATTATTCTACAGAGAGCTACACATTATATTTGTACTTAAGAAGTGTTTGTTAAGATGGTTTAGATGATTAAAAGCACAATGCATTGCTTCTTTATTCAGAAGTTCACTTGAGCTTATTCCCTTACAGGTATGTTTAGGATTGCAAACTAATAAATCAAACCTTTGCTCACAAAGAAACACAGATATTGAGCTTACTTGGCATAACCAAAAATGGATATAATGCTCAGTAATTATATATATATATATATATATATATATATATATATATATATGGACACGGGTGGCGCTGTGGTCTAAACCACTGAGTTTGCCAATCAGAAGGTCAGCGGTTCAAATCCCCACGACGGGGTGAGCTCCCGTTGCTTGGTCCCAGCTCCTGTCAACCTAGCAGGAGCTAGGTTTGAAAGCACACCAAAAAAAGTGCAAGTAGATAAACAGGTACCGCTCCGGCGGGAAGGTAAACAGCATTTCCATGCACTGCTCTGGTTTCGGTGTTCCGTTGCACCAGAAGCGGCTTAGTTATGCTGGCCACATGACCCGGAAAAACTGTCTGCAGGTCAGTAAAACATCATTCAGCGGTCCTGCATAGAATGCTATGGATAAATAGTCAATGGAAAAGAGGTTCAGAACTAGATGCTAACTGAAGGAATCAACAAAAGATGGCAGTTTGAAATGACAGAGTGACAGTTGGGACAGTGGTATTAACATTCGAAAGCTTAAGTATATGGATTATTTTTAACTCCATCTGTTATATGGTGATACTAGGTAATTAAAATAATAAGTTTTTTTATCACAAAGAGTAAGAGGTAACATGGTGAGTTTTGGACCAATTTATCTTGGTGTAGTAGCTATGGAGATAATATCAAATTATTCATCCAGCAGGATGTAGTCATAGCTATTTGTCTATTTGTACATTGCTGTTTTAACTGTTGTTTTTATTGTGATGCTATCCACCCGTCTCTAGGACATTTTGTGACAGGCTAGAAATAAATATGCTTAATAAAATAATTAAATATAAATATTAGCCTATAGTAGAAAGAACAGAGTCAATTATAAATGCAAATATTTTAGTTGCTTCAGATTATAGTGGCTTCATGAGGGAAATGCAGTGTTGTAATAGTACCTCAGGATTGTTTCTGTTCAAAGCCTTTTGCCACATATGGAGATCCAGTCATTTTGTACTAGAAAGATGTGATATTTGATGTCAAAATCACATCTTTCTGCAATATTTTTCCATGCTTTAGACAGCATCTCAGTGTAGCATGGGCCAGCTGCCAGCCAATGAGTCAAAATCACTAACAGAAATTTTCCATGTAGAAAACTATTTTGCCAGCCTGATTAATACTGAGGGATGGGGACATGGAGTCAGGGGTATTTGAATGTGGGAGGAACTTAAGGCAAGGGAACTTAAGGCCCAAATTGGGGGAAATGAGTATGGTATTTGAGAAGAGCAGCATTGATTGGTGCAGTATGGTATTTGAGAAGAGCAGCATTGATGATAGTGAGTGGAACCTCCATTATCAAATTTGATAAATGATGTGCCACAAATCAGGCTCATGTGATTGATAAGGTTAGACTACCTTCCTTATCAGCCCCCTCCCCCCAGCTATAATAAAAACAGAAATTGGGATAGTGGACATCTACCACAGATTTTGTCAGACATAACATTTTGGGGGTTGAATGGAAAGCAGTGCTTTAATTCTGTTATGGGTTTGCAGGAGGCAAGGATCCCCTAAAATTCCTGGGTGCCAGGTTCTCCCCATAGTTTTTTAAATTAGTAAATGTGGAGTTTGAAGTTGCCAGCTCCCTCAGGAGATTGGCTTAAAGAGGTGCCATCAAAGAACAAAGGCAACTGCCCTGCCAAAGGTGAGACATTCAGTATCAGACAAGAAAGGGGGAGGCTACCAGGATTGCAGGGACTGTGATGTGACCACAGGAAAAAGTGCTTTTCACAGGAGGCTTTTGAAATGGAGGTTGCCAGGGTAACAGAGGGGATGCTGCAAGCAGAAGAGGAGGTGGTATTTTCTGCAAAAGCTGCTGGGAAGAATAAAAGTAGGAAGAACTACATGCACACTGGCTGGGAGAGGCTGCACTGGGAGACTGAGGGCCATTACAGGCTGCTGCTTTGGATGCAAGCTTGCTGAAGCTATGAGTGAAGCAACAAGAGACACTATTAGGATGTAATGTTGTGCACCCCCTCAGGTGTAAATATGTGTAAAATAAACCATAGTTTTTAAAGACACTAGTCTCCACTGTGCCTGGTAAAGTGCCAAGACTTCTGGAATCTTGCTACCACTTGGCAAGATTAGGGTATATATAGAAAGTACAAGATATAGGTAGCTTGTTGATGTAGTTTGAATAAGGTGTGAAATTGCACTAATTGCTTGATCTCTGTCTTGAGCTAGCATGCCCCCCACGTTTGGATCTTGTTATCTTGTTTAGAGATAGAACACCAGGTGTACTGGGTAGCATAGCAATATTACAAGGCCAAAAGTCTGACTTGCTGACTCATCTACCCTCATTTTATCTCAGGAATGTGCATACATGCAGAGATGGGTATAAAAGTCAAGGTTGCATTGCATTCTCTATCTGGGGGCGACAGGGGGAGAGTCTGGGAGCCCCTGTGTTAGGTGTACACAGCAGTGTGAGCTAGCATGGTAAAGTGCTAGTGGATCTCTCTGTATGCTTGTTTCTTTACTTCTAAGACCAGAAGAACAGTATTATAGCAGTTAGTAGATTTGTCTTGTCTCTTGAGACAATAAACACTTTATACTTTAATTTCAGCTCAGTAAGGAAGGAGGTTTTTTGAGTGAGAACTCTGGAGAAAACTGACTACTGGAAATCAGGAAAACTCTGATGTTCTCCTGAAAGACTTTGCTGGAGTTGAGCAAACTCTGCTAGTCACACTGGTTGAAGTGTGGTGGTATCAATAGATGGTGGGTTCATGTCTGACAGGTTATGGGCCAACTGACTTTCAGAAATAATAACAGGTTATGGGCCCAGGACACATCTGCAAGAGCCTGAGTAAGCCAGCGAGAGTCTAGAGTGCTCCAGTTGCAGCTTCTCAAGTTCTGTTTGCTGGTCTGGTCTACAAGAAGGTGAGAGCATAGTGACCTGTTGGTGAAGTGTGTTGTGGTATCACTATGGCTCAAGGAATGCACTATGGTTTGTCACTTGAGAGACTGAATGATTCAAACTATTCAAACTGGAGTTATAAAATGGAGATATTCCTGAAGAGAGTGGGAATTTGGACTCTTGTTACTGAACCCCCAGATGATGAAGAAGCCTGGGCATGCCAGGATGAGAAGGTTCAGGTAATCATAGCCTTGGGTGTTGAAGACTCACAGATATAAATCATTTGGTTCCTGCCAAGAGCCAAACATATGTGGACTGCCTTGCAGGATGTTTCATCAGCTTGTATATTAGTTTCAGTGGAAACAATTATCTCTAAATTCTGTTGACCCATATCAGCTGTGGGTGAGATAAAACCTTCATAGTCTAAAGTTACCTCCTATGTAGAATTAAACTATTTCTTAGTAATATAACTGTTTTTGTATCTTTATTTTGTATCTTATGATTTATGTGGAAATGGTTCTATTTGTTTGCGTACTTTCTGATGTTTTGTTTATTTTTTATGACTACTACTTTTGTTATGTTTGCAGTTATATAATTTTGTGTATGTTGTAAGCTGCACTGAACATGGTTTTAACTTTGGGAAGGGGGCATACAAATGTAATGATTCATTGATCTTAAAAATTACTCTGCTAATGTCAGTACAGATAAAATGTATAATTATTATCCCCACAAGGTGGGTGTCTGTTGGTGACTTGTGAAAGTCAGTTGGTAGTTCAACCACACCTCAAACAGTGTGTTGTATCAGCAGAGTATGACGAACCCCAGCAGTCTTCAGAGAGTTTTCAGAGTTTCCTGCTCCCAGCAGAACAGTTTCTTCCAGAGTCCCCATTTAAGGGGAAAATTTCTCTCCCACAAAGTTCAAAGTAGCAAAGTGTTTATTGTCTCCAAACATAATACAAAGCTAAACGCTACTATCTACTATAAGAAGTTATTCTGGTCTTTGAGGTAAAGATATATATGTACAGAGATCCACTGACACTATTACCATGCTAGCTAATGCTGCTTTGTAAAACCCACAGTCTCTTCCCCTGACTCTCACAATTCAGAGTCAGACCCTGACAGCAAATAGGACAGGAAAGGGACAAGACCAGGATAGGACAAAGCATAATGAAAGCAATAACCTAGAGACTATTATACCCATCTCTACATGTAAGCATATTTCCTGAACCAATAGGAGTGTATGACTCAGCAAGTCATACACTCAACCTTATCCTAGACCATCCAGACACGGGGGATGTGCTCCTCAATGCATGAGACCAAGTACTGCGTAATTTAGCTCATTGTATAGAGTGAGAGAATCTGTGTTGGAAAGAGAGATTCTTAATCTCTTGTAGCAGAGTCAGCACAATGGTGATTGCTCCATGCACAATAAAACTTGGTTAGATTTATATCTGCCTTTATCCACTTTAAACAAATGTTCCCCACAAAAATACTTAGGCTAGAATAAATCACAGACACTTAGCATAGCTAGTAAGGGAATATTTTACTCACAGAGTTTTCAGAAGTTAGAGGAAACAAGTCTCCATCTGTGGGCAGAAAAAAAATGAATAAGATAAAGGTTCCAAATGTCTTAAGAAAGTAACTTGGTCAAAAAGGATACTGCAAACTTTGCGCTAGCAAAGATGCAGGCTATAAAATCTCATTTTAGAGGGAGAACCAAGCAAACAAATACATTATGAATGACACCTGGCTTTATAACAGTACCCATGAGAAGGATCCAGGGGGTTTTATTAGACCTCAATCTAAACAAGAGTTAGCAGTGTGATACAGCAGCTAAAAAGGCTAGTGCAATTCTTGGTTGATTCAAGCAGAGGTATATTGACCACATCACACAATGCAATGGTACCAATCTGTTCTGCTTTTGTCAGACCTTACCTGATCATGTCCAGTTCGGAGCACTGCAGTTTAAGATTCCTGGAATGTATACAGAGGAGGGTGACAAAGATCATGAAGACCTGGAGACTACATCCTATGAGGAAAGGTTGAAAGAGTTGGGTATATATAGCATAGAGAAGGGTTGATTTAGAGGCAATATACAGGTTGTGACCATTTTGCGCGCATCCAATTGACATGTGACTGCCAACACATGGGTCCTTTTGGACCCAGAAGAGGGTGGAATGGGGGACAGAACAGGTGGAGCAGGTGTAGGGCAGGCTTATGTGCACTCTGCTGACATGCATGGGGGCTAGGAATGGATGCTCTGTGCAAAATTGTTGCCACCTGTAATAGCCATATTTGCATAGTTGAAGAGCTGTTACATAGATTTCTGTTGTTCCAGGGAGTGGGGCCTGAACCATTTGGTTCAAACTACAAGAAACAGAATTTAGGTTAACATTCAGAAGAACTTCTATTTGTCAGTGGGACATAAGTTTTTAAGCAGATGTTGAATGGTAACCACCAGGGATTTCCTGCATCAGTACGGGGTTGGACTAAATGACCTTTTGAGGTATTTTCCTGCAAGCACTCTGATTCTATTAATCAAAACCAGATTTCACAAGACAGTTTCAAGCACTTTGCTCATATGTTACCTCCAGGACACAGGCAGTATTATTATAATGATATTGTAGCTTCTTCATAAAATGACAATGTGACACGAGCTAATTCTTAGTTAAACTTATTTGCTTTTTCTTTGAAAAGTTGTTTATGATTCCAGCAAGTCAATGGACTGAAAGTAATCTTTGTACAGTAATGTCTTAATAATACTGTTGCTTCCTTAGGTATGGAGAAACCTGTACATAGTGAAAGCACAGTTAGATTAACACAAAGGAAAGAGGAAAACAACCGGGCTAAATCAGTGATTGATGGTATCTGATAATGCTTCAGGGAAGAAACAGTGAGGAGGAGGAGAATGTATTAACCCATCCCCTGCCTGCTGATACTTCCTGCCAAGTTTCCTTCCTCTGGCTATTTTGAGCCCATTTCCCCCTGACTGAGTTCTGAGACCAGAACAAGCCTAGCTAGGGGGAAGCAGTTGATGTGTTGGTGTGTGTGTGTGTGTAAATGAGTAGGAGAACTGGTTGGCATGGGAAGGGTTAAACACCTCACCTTCCCACTTTTTTGATTCTCCCCTATTCTTGTATTCATATTACCTCATCAAACATGGAACACATGTTTCTCAAGGTAATATGTAGCTCCATCCTTGGATGCTAGGGAAAAAATTCAAAATAGCTGTGGAATATCACACTTCAATTTTTTATTAATTAATGATGTAAAAATTATAGTCTTGAATATGTGGGATGTGTGTGTGCATGTGTGTGCGCGCGCACATATCTTTCATTTGAGATTCTTATTTTTGTATATTTAAAATAAAGTTTTACCACTGTCTTATGACAATTCGTTTTTTCCAGAGGCAATTTTGACTTTCAGTAGTTGTGGGCAATTGTTAAAACTTGAAACAACAGAGAAGGCATATCCAAGGGTAACACAAGAATATTTGCTTAATTTTACTTTTGAAACAAAAAGGAGGCACAGTCTGAGGAAAGATTTTGATTTTGTTAAGAATGGGCTAGACAGAACAAGCATCTTCCCATACCAGTGAATCACATGTATTATTTTACAATATATAAAGGATAGTTTACAAGCAGAAACTTGTCTTTAGAACAGAATATTTACATTATATTTACACAAATGAACAATTGAAGAATAAAAATAATAGACCCTTAACTTTCTAGATAATTAACACTAATGTACTTTGCAGTGTTTTTAAAGTTATATTAGTATTTTTATCAAGAAGCACATGCATCACTCTAAGGTATGTATATTTTGTGTTGTCCATATATTTGTGTCGGTGGAGCTATAAAGATATGCTTTTAATTCTGGTATTGCACACACATTTCTTGTGCATGATGCAATATGACCTTTGTTCTGCACATGGGCATTCTGCCTGCCTCAGTGCTTGGGGGGGGGGGATATCACACACTGATGTTTAACCTCATTACTTTGTTTTTATGTGAAGCTATGGGAGCTGTGCAGCCTGTATGTTGTTCACACATGACTATATGTGAAGGTGGGGTTTTCTGTGAAATGTATTTGTGGCCGGGTCTCTCCTTTTGGTGTCTGTACAGCACATTTCTATTGTGAATGCGTGTGAGAGACAAAAGGAAAATGCTCCCCTCCCCCCCACCTTTCCCACATTCACTCTGTGCTCACAGACAAGCTGGCACCCCTCCCCCACACTTTGGTTCCACACCAGCTGCTCTCCCTGAAAACCGATACTTGAGAGGCCTCTTTTCCCCCTAAACCAGTTCTAGCTGGAAGACGGAGAGAAACAAAACCCAGGTTGGATTCTGAGCTGGAGCAGCTCTGGCTGCCCTTCCTGCAGGCAAAAACTCCATCTCCAGGCATAAAGCCTGTCCACAGCTTCCATGCAGCCCTGCTGCTACTGGCATTTGCTCTGAGCTCTGGCTCTAGTAGCATATTCTAGCAGGGATTGCAGCTCCTGGATCTTCTGGGAGTGATCCAGTCCAGAGATTCCAGTCAGCTTTGGTGCGGCAGAACCTCAGCCTAAACAACAGTTGATGTCTCATTCCAGCTCAGTCTCAACCAGTCTCAACCGGCTCAAACCGGCCCTGGCCTGCTAGGATGGCTGCTGAGTCTGAGCCGCCTCTTTTCCTCCCATGAATTTTCACTGCCCCACCCATAGAGAAACAACACTGAGGAGAAGCTTATTTCTATTTTTACGTGGGGGATTCGGTGCTGCCCTTGAACTACTTCGAAGCCCACCCCAATAATATGCAGAGATGCAGAATCCCCCACTACTCCTCTGAATAAAGTCATTGTTTTAACCCACACGACCCTTGTGAGCAGGGGATACCCTGACGCCTGTCTTTTTCCCTCCAAAATCTTTCGAGTAATACTTCCCCACAAGCACGAGTGCTTCTCCCCCCAAACTTCCCATAAAGCTGACCATGGTAGAGGATACTGAATCTCCCACCGAGGGGGCGGTTACTGGTGTTTACTGGCCCCTCTCTCCAATGCATGTAATTTTTTGGACCTTCAATGTTCCTGATAAATGATAGCATGCTATCTCATCTGCAGCGCCCCCACAGCCCACAACACTAGCCACCACAGCCCCCCTTAGTAATAAAAACCTAATTAAAGGATTTCCAGTGTCAGATGATATGACATGTTTCCAGCAAAATATCCATTCTTACATAAGCAGCCAGATGGGGAAGGCCATAGTGCCCTCTATCCTTGCATAACTTTAGAGGAAAAACCTCTTAGCAGAACATTAAATAATGAGGCGGACTACAGTCTATGCTTTTCTCTGTTAGTATGTTCCTCTCTTGGAGGATGGCAGGAAATGAAAGTGCTTACTATTTCTGCACAAGAAATCCAGGAATGACATCCTCCTGAAAGAAATGTCGCACCTCCTTAAACAAAAAATATCAGCTTTCCCCTCATATTGTTTCAAAGTAACCCAGAGTCCAGGAGGTCATTTACACAAACTATTACCCTGAGATAGCAACCGCTTAATTTCTTTCCATCTCAGATCTCTTTGTATTATCAAAGGGTGTATCAGAGATTGAAGTGGGTTTGAAAGCAAAGGAACAGCTCCTGGGTGTCTCACCTCTCTTGTCCTTGTGAAAGCATGTGCACTCAATACCTGTATAAGTGAGAAGGGGCTGGGTGAAATTTCCCTCCTCTGTTAGCTGATGTCTATGTGTTGTGCTTCTTTAGGGTTGTTACACTGACATTTGAGACAGCAAACCGGGTATGCTGAGGTGAATTTGTTGACTCAGGGAAGCTATGTCAAATTAGCCACGTTTATAACAAAGGGTGGGTGGGTGTGCACATGATCATGTAAATGAGCCCCAAGCTAGAACTGACAGACCCTCAGAGACCAAATGGGGGGGAAATCGTATTTACCTCTCCACAGATCATCAGGCTGCTTCACCGCCCTTTCAACAATTTATACTCACAGCACCCCTTTGAGGTAGGAAATAGTTACTACATGATTATACTGAGACATTAGGACCTGAGAGATGCTTATAATGTGGTTAATGTGCAACAACACACAGCCTTTTGCATGTATTGCAGATTTCCTATATTAATTACCTGAAGCAGACCTAATCTGTATAGAACCAATCGTAGGTGCACCTGAGTTGCTGATGTAAAATTACTTAGATGTAGGAATCTGATTACTCATAAAAAAATAATGCTTGTTTCCACACAGACATAAAGAAAATTTGTGGCAGAACAAGACACAAAATATAGACCTCCCAAAATCGTGGTTACAACCTCATACCTGCAACACTATCCTCCTCTGGAGAAAATAACAAAATATGTGGGTGTGATTGTATTGTAGCATATAAGGAAAAATATATATCAGAGACCCAAACTGGCTGAATGCCCACATCCGCACTAAACCAAGGAACTGATGTTCTGTATTGTTGTTGTTGGCATCCATCTGTCTCAAGAGGCAACGGAGGTGAAGTCAAACTGCTAGGGTGAAGCCTGGGCAGTGTGTATGAGGTTTCAAAGCTGATAGTAAAGGGTTGCCATACATCTGGAATTTCGCTGTAATGTCTGGGAAAATCTGGACATATGGCAACTCATGTTGGAAGTATAGAATTTGGCTTCAAAAAAGCTCAAAAACTTCTATTTTTTTTTGCAAAAAAGGAGGAGGAATTTAGTGTTACTATATCAGCTCTTCAGGAAATCACAAATCACGAAATCACACCATATGTAGCACAGGCAAAAATTCCACTGGGATTGGAAGGGTGGATTTCAGTATATATAGAACGAGAAAGGGCAGTGAATGCTATGAAATTAGGGTTCAAGAAGAATAAAAGTGCAAGAAAGGGAGTCCTTCCTATTAGGGTGGGAAAAGGGAAGTAGAAGTGGAACCCCATAATAAATGTTTATGGTGTATCAAATCTTACGATTTTTAGAGATGTTTCTCAATTTAAGTTCTGGGGTTTATAACCCTTGCATGTCAAACTCTATTCAGATTTTGTCAGTACAGAACAAGGGATAATATCCTAATTTTACTTAAATCAACCTTGCAGAAAGCATATTAAGATATTTGTATCTGGGTCTCACAGTATTATTTTCACACATTTAGAAAAATAAAACTTAAAATTACAAGTGTGAAGTAATTTCGCTAACGGTGGGAGGTGCCATTAGCGGAAGTGTGCCTCATGTTACGAGCGGTTTCTGGTTATAAACGGACCTCCGAGAATGGATTAAGTTTGTAACTGGAGGTACCACCAGTGGTACCTCAGGTTACAAACACCTCGGGTTACAAACACTTCGGGTTACAGACTCTGCTAACCTGGAAGTAGTACCTCGGGTTAAGAACTTTACCTCAGGATGAGAACAGAAATTGTGCAGTGGAGGCGTGGCAGCAGCGGGAGGCTCCATTCGCTAAAGTTGTACCTCAGGTTAAGAACGGTTTCAGGTTAAGAATGGACCTCCGGAACGAATTAAGTTCGTAACCAGAGGTACCATCAAAGTAATCTATCTTGCATCTATAAGCAACAGAAAAGAGACAACATATTTAGAAATCATAACTGTATATAGCACTTTCAGCATTCAGAGCTATTCACATACATCACCACAACAATTCTTACAATATCCCTTTAAGGCACTATTATTTCCATATTATGCTGAGGTGAGATGCAGTGGTAAAGGTGAAAGGTAGTAGTTCGCCTAAGGCCCTCTAGTACAGGGAGGTTCAACTATTAAAACCAAGTGATCCAACTCTCTTCTCACGCTGCCCTTCCAAAGCCAGGTAAGTGAGGCACTGGGCTTTGGAAAGGAGGTAAGAGGCTCTGGCAGTGTCCTAGAGCCCTCCCACTTCCTTTCCCAAGTTGGAAAAGCGCTAACTGAGCTTTGGGAAGGAGGTGGGACGACTCAACGTCTCTGTCCCAAAGCCCAACGCCTTGCAGCACAAGAGCTGGGGGCGGGGAATCAAATGTTGCCGAGAGCCACCCCAAAAGGCACTGAGGGCCGCATGTGGCCCTTGGGCTGTGTGTTGGACCACTCTGCTCTAGTGAGTTTGTGGTTATGATGAAATTTGAAATAGTCACCTCCTAGAGCTCATTCTTTTAGTGGTTACACTATACCAACTCTTTCAGTAAACATTTTGAAATTGACTGTTTTGTGTCTGGCATTTTCTGCCTGATTTCTCTGAAAAGATCTACAGTGGTACCTCAGGTTACATACGCTTCAGGTTACATACGCTTCAGGTTACAGACTCCACTAACCCAGAAATATTGCTTCGGGTTAAGAACTTTGCTTCAGGATGAGAACAGAAATCATGCTCCGGCAGCATGGCGGCAGCAGGAGGCCCCATTAGCTAAAGTGGTGCTTCAGGTTAAGAACAGTTTCAGGTTAAGAACAGACCTCCGGAACAAATTAAGTACTTAACCTGAGGTACCACTGTATAGGCAGACTACTTATCCTATCACATCCTCCAGTAGCCAATTTGACACACTCTTGGAAGTTTTAATTTGTCTCCCTCTGCTGGTCAAAGGTACCCTTTTCTTTTATACACATTCCTAGTTATTTTATGTTGCAAATGTTCAAGGATATAGTGTTTCCATTGCTTCATTGATGATTTTAGCTTTTTGCATATTCTAACACGCTTCAACCTTTCATTGTATATGTGTTTTGTCTCTGTGTGAAGCTGTGTATTTAAAAATGAATGGGAAATTATGGATTATCATTCACCTTCAGAATATTTTAATGGAACTTAAAATTAGCCATGTGTCAGAATGTAAGCCAGAGGGAAATTGCTAACTAGAGTGTTACATTTCAGTCATGCATGAAACACTGGAGACATGCCAAACATAGTACAGGGCAAAGGTGAAAGCGCGCACTGCCTTGGGGACTGAAGGAAGTCTAGATTCTGGAAAATAGAGCAAATTTGTCAGCTTCTGAAAACAAAGCTACAGGAAGCTGTGAGGAGCTGGGAAGCATCCAGTTTAGGACAACTCTCATACGTTAAGGATGATAGTGTAAATGTTTTAGGTCATCAAGGTGGGGATTGGGCGTAACTTGGCTATAAGAAAGGAGATCACTGCAATTTAAAGTGATCAAAAAGTTGTAGGAGAAATTGCACATGTTTAAAAGGAATCTGGAAAGGGACACAGTGGCCTGGTATTCACATAACACTAGGCTGTAATTTGCTTAGCCCAACAATGGTTTGTATGAATGTGTGAAACCAACATGGCAGGTTAACCATGGGTCATCTAATGTCAATAAGCCATGGTGTGAAACCTTGGTTTTATTGACTTCTGAGCCATGACTTGTTTTAACTATGGGTTGGTTTTATATCTGAACCCAGTTACCTTGCTTAACCATAATTTGTTTCTTCATCTCTATCCCAAATGCTCATGAAACTAAAAAGGCATAGGAGAAGAGCTGCTGGAAAACAAGCCAAGCTTGGGAGAAACAAACCATGGTATGCGAGATGAATGGGCAACAAAATACAAGTGCGTACTTTTATTTTGGGACAAAAAGAAATTTCCAGTTTGCAGGCATCCTGAGACAAATTCACAGAGCATAAACGAAAGTTCTATTATGGTCTACCATTCATTCCTTTGGTATGGGAGATGCCTGTTTCCAGTGGCAGCAGCAGAAACATCAGTGGCTACTCCTGGCAGCCACCATTTCCCCCTCAGGATGCCGGGACACAGTGTTGTTCTAGGCTGATGCCCACCAAAGGTCATTGATTTCCAATGTGCTGCCACTGCTAGCAAAGGTATTGACGAGGAAAAGGTATATATATTGGATCTCAAGGTAAGTGTGAATACTGAAATTAAAAACTAGACAATGAAGGAAACACAAAACAAGGTGGTGTTTGTGAAGAAAATACATGGTGAATGTGTGACTCTCCTAGTGATGCCAAATGTGAAACGAAGTATTTGTTTAAAGTTATTCATTCATTTATTTAAACAAGTTATATACCACTTAACACTATATTCCCCAAATAGCGTAAATTTACAAAAGATACAATAAAGATAAAATCAGCTAAAATTAACCGATTAATTTATCTTAAGCATTGTCCATATATAGGAAAATAGATTATAGGAGAATAGATTTATGTATAAAATAGAAACTTCATAAAATTGTAATGTAGGTAAAGGAATGGTAACAATCTGAGACTATATTCTGAGCTTGTCACAATGAGGCATATGTAATTTCTTCTGTTCAGCTAGTTTGCTTTCAGTCAAGCCCACCATCCTTGCATACACCATTTAAAACAGCTGCCTTAGGGGCAGGAGTGTGAGAGAAGCAAGCAAGTTGAACCGCCATGTCTACCAACTGTTGCCACTCCACAAGCTGGGATGGGACTCATTATTCCCTTTCAGTGGCCACTTCGAACCACTTCTTACAAAGCCAGTTTCAGAAGGTGAAGAAATTAGGCATTTGTAGGGACTGACCATCCCAACAACACTAGGATTTTCATTTTGCATGGAATACCCAAGAAGCAGTATCAGAAAGTTTGCAGACCTTGTTTCTTCCTGCTTGCAGGGGCCCACTATGGACCCCTCGCCTAAAAACCTCATAACTTTTGGAGCTGGCATTGCCCAAC